AAGGAAGGAAGAGAAGAGGAGGTATTGCTTTTCTTTGGAAGAATTTTGGATGTCGATGTCACTTCTTTTTCGATGAACCACATTGATGTGAGGGTGGAAAATATGCTTCAAGGAGGTTGGAGATTTACGGGGTTCTTGATGCGCATTTGACGACTAATTTATGGATGGAAGAATTTAAGTGGTTTTACTGGTAGAATTTTGAAGGATAATCTTAGTAGGCAACGACTTCTAAGTTTGATCTTAGGAGCAACGATCCCAAAATCCTAGTTAACAACTAGTTAACGACTTCTAATTGGATTTTGTTTAGATTTTTGTAAAATAATTATTTTGCCTTAATTCCTATATTTTTCCTACTCAAATAAATCTAAAGTATATTTGATCATATATATTTTGATACTAAATATCCTCTACTTATTATCCTCCAAGTAAGTCTTTTGTTTCCTTAATCCATTTCATGATCATCTTACAATCTCATACTTTCCATAATCTATTTTCTACTTGCTCACCAAGTTAGCTCTTTCCTTAATTCTTATTATTGCTTCTCAAGTAATTCATTAACTCCATAATTTCCATATTTCATTCTACACATATTTTCCACAATTCTTACACTCTTACACCTATAAATACCTCTCTCATAAACACCTAAAAACCCACTCAAAATCTTACATTTTCTCCTTTAATTTCTCTCGATTTTCCTCCTCCATTGGCGACCACCACCTTTCCCTGGCAGCAGCCACCACCGGTAGCCATCCAAGACCATAGACGGCAATTACTGCCGCCCAGCCGAAGCTATCCAAAGCCCAGCCGAAGCCAGTGGAAGCTTTTCTTCTTCCTCTTCCTTCTTCGGTTTTCTTCTTCTTTCTCTTCTATTCTAATTTCAATAATTAATTATTCTACTCTAATGATTTAATTAAATAAAAACAGAAAAATTATTTTAAAGTTTATGAAAGAATTTAATTAGTTCATGCACATATATTTAGAGTTTTGTCTAGTACTGTTGTGATTATTTGATGACCTTATATTAATTAAGGTTAAACTTAATTGTAGGGTGGTCTTGGGGGAAAGTTCTTGAGTTCTAATTGTTGATTTTGCTGAGCGAGGATCAAGGTACGTTTAGGTGGATAGATACTTTATTAAAGTGCTTGAATTGATCAACATGTTTATGCGAAATTGAATTTAAATGAATGCTTTGACTTAAATTGAATGTCATGTTTTATGAATTAAATATGTTTGAGGAATTGATTTTATTATCATGTTTTGAATTATTCAATATGTTTAAAGGAATTAGTTTAAAAAGTATGGTTAATTAAATAAAAGGGTTTTGAGTTGGAATTATTATTATTATTGAAAAGTTGGATTTTATTTACAATGATTTATTTATCAAGAGGAATTATTGAGTTATTATTTAAAAGCTTTACACACATGTTATGTAATCTCACTATGCAGATTTGGTTGATAAGACTATGGACTTTGTATGACCTAATCTTTCCTCAAGGTAGCCTTTCTACATAAAGATACTAAATTGGGGGGTGTGCACACTTAGGAGAGGAATTGGATTAAAAAGGAATTGATTTTTAATACTTTGAAATATATTTGAGTTATTGGAATTTGAGTAATTGATAATTGAGTATTGAATTGAGTTTATTTAAAAAAGAGCTATTCATAGGTTTGAATTAAAAGAATTATTATTGTCATGGATTTTGATGACTTGAGTCTTCGAAAGCATGTTTATGAATAAAGTGGATTTACTTATCTTGCACTTAAATGTACTTAGCATGTTTTGCTAATCCGTATTTTCTATTTTGTTTTGGTTCGCCCTATTTGCCTTATTGGTAAGTAGTTGTGAATTTTCATTTGGAGTCTAAATGCGCATTTGGGGATCCCGGGAATGATTTCGCCTAGATTAGGTTTTTGAATGTTTTGTATTTAATTAATTTTGAAAACTCATAACAATAGTTCGGTTTTGAAGTATTAATAAAGTAAGAGTTGTTTTCCGGTGCAAGTTTCTAGTGAGTTTGAGTTTTAAAGTAGCCTTACGTTATCACGTGGCGATAACACGCCTAAGTATATCTCTACGGTAAAATTATACGTACTAGTACTTCCGTAGAGGGAGATTTGGGGGTGTTGCACAGGTGGTTGTGGGCATCTCCTAGAAAGTGGAGGTTGGAGGAGGTGGAGGAATTGGAAGCTATTCTTTCAGTAAGAAAGCAGCTCTTTGTGACAAAAGAATTGTAGGAGGAGGAGGTGGGCTTGGTGGAAAAGGCGGGGCATCTTTTTCTGGATGCTAGAAATGAGAATAAAGAGGGAGATGAGGGGGGTAAGTATGGATGGATAGAGAGAGCGAGAAGGAGGGAAAGGGAATTAAAGAAAAACAAAATGCTCTCGTTTTTGGGGAGGAGGAAGAGAGAAACATGGCTGGACATATTTTTGTCTTCGGTGAGGGTGATGATGTTGCGAGTGGGAGGGTGAGGCAAGAGAAAGAGAAGAAAGTGGGGAGGAAGTATATGATGCTGGTGTTATAGGGGATAAGAAATGGGCGAGTGATGATGGTGCTGCTGTGTTGATGGTGAAGGAGACAAGTAAGGGGATGGAGGAAGTAGTGAGTAATGTTGTAATGCAAGGGGGGGGGGGGGGGGGGGGGGGGGGGGGAAGGAGTGGCGGGGAGTTTGGTGGGGCTGGGAAAGACGAGGAATGGGGGAAAAGAGAGGTATGTTGCAGCAGGTGGTGCGCATTCAAGTATTAATTTGGGTGCGAAAAGGGGGGAAGGCTGTAGAAAAGTTGTGAGGGAGTGGTATGGATTTGATTGTCATATGAGCTCGGTGGATCAGATCCTTGGAAAGAGGGAGAGGGAAATGCAAGTGGGTGGTGTTGAGGGGGAGCTCTCCATTAAAAAATTGGTGACTTTGAATGAACTTTTTGGATTGCGGGTGGCGGAGGCTGTCGAGCAACAGCCTTGCCAAGCTCAATGAATATTTTTATTTTTTCTTTATCCGTTAAAGTTTTATTTGATTCGGGTGTGTCTCATTATTTTAGTTCTAGAACTTTAGTGGAAAAGTCCCTAAACTAGAAAGTCTAGTGTCAACTTCCTCAAATGTCTATAACAATTTTTTTAAAAGTACGGAGGGACTTTAGTGAAATGATATTTGTGACCCTCTATTCCATGGTACTGCATACAAATTGGCAAAGTCTACCAAAAAACATGATACATTTTTGCAATTTGTCGTACAATTATAATAATATACTTGTATCTAGACCTAGTTACTGGGCAGGTCGGGTAAGGGTCGGTGCGGGTCGGGTCAAAGAGGGTCACATTTTGTAGGGTCAATAGCGGGTCAGGCCAATGCGGATCACGGGTCAATAACGGGTCGATAATGGGAGGCCAACAAATTATCAATTAAAATAATATTGAACAAAGCCATAATTAAATATATGAATACGAAAATACTATGTAATTTTTTTCTTACATTATCTTTTTTCTCTATGTATTAAATTGGACAAACATTTTGGCCCTATATTGACCTTGTCCGTTAAGAAACTTTTAAATTTGACCTTGACCCTATTATCATTGGGCTACCCTATTTAATAACCAGGTCTACTTGTATCACCTTCTAGGCATTTATGCAAGATTATCAAGTAACCTAAACTCCAATCTCTTCACCCAAGGACAAATCCTAAGCACACTACATAACATAATTTCTTATTTTCCTCTCCTAATTAAAGTACTCCGTAGTTCCGTATTATCAACAATATATATCATATCAATCAATAACTATATACTAAAAGGAAAATCAGAAGTGACACATGTCATCTTCTGGTCAACAATTTTCCCTCCATTTTTTTCTTTCCCTTTTTTTTCCCCTTCTTTTTCAAATCTTCATTAATTGTTCCACAACTTAAAATATTTCCCTTGCATTTTGACAATTATATTGACTTTCATATACACTCAAGTAAATAAGGAAAAAAAATGATTTGATGTATTTTCTATATATTTAATTTACAAGTAGGTGTTCTAGAAATAAATGAACATAGATAAGGCAATATATTTTTAGAATAATATTATTACTCAATATTTTTGTGTTATTATGTCATTATTCTATCTTTTAATTGCTCTAGGTTATTTGGATTTTGGGCAATGCATTAAGTTTCAATAGATAAAAAATTCACTTTGGTAATATATATGTATTATTGTATATACAATAATTTTCTATTCTTAAAAGACAAATCAATAACAGCTTGTGTCTGTAGGAAAAAAGAAAAAAGAAAAAAAGAAAGTATGTAGCATATGTCAAAATTTGGTCCAAAATTTCCAACTATATTTCCAACAAATGTAAGAAAAAAAAATGTATTCTTAACTAATTAATAAAGTATTTTACTTCGTATTTGTTAAAGTGTGTGAATAAAATAAGGATGGATATATATATGTGTGTATATCGCATGCACATTATTCCTCTTTATTAAATAGAGCCCTATAGTTCTTAGATTTATTTTATTTTTTCATAAAGTGGATCAACTTAATGCAATAGTTATCCTTCATTATTTTGTTGAATTAACATTATAATTTACTAGATGAAAGCCCGTGCGATGCACGGTTTTTTCATCTAAGATTTTTAATTATTTAATTTATTGTATTTAATAATTTAAACAAAATTACAAAAGCTTAATATACGAGTATATTTTTATTTTTTACTATAATTTATAATGAATTTATTAAATATAAATAAATTATAAATATAATATTTTTTCCGTTATATAAAATTTTTAATGTGAAATGATAAATTTTCAATAATTTAAATCCTAAATTATTATTCATTATTTTACCATATATTTTATTTCGATAGAAGCACCAACCCCGTCCACAACCAACATACTACATCAATGGATAAATTAAACCGTGCATTGTACGAGACTTAAACTACTTGTATTATAAAATCTTTATACAAACGATATTAAAAGATTTTATACAAACGACATTAAAATATAGTTGTATTATAAAATCTTTATACAAACGACATTAAAATATCTCCCACGGCTTCACTCTCACAACTTTCTCTCTCTCAGACGTGGTGAGAGCGTGAGAGAATCAATCCTTCCTCTTCATCGAACAAACCCGGTTCGATTGACGGAGAAAACTTAGTCATGGCGCCGCCGGCAATCGCAGAAGGCGGTGGAGGAGGTGCGCAGCCACCGCAACAACGCCAAGGTTTTGGACAATCGATCTCTGGAGTTCTAAGAATGGCGATTTTTTGGTATTTTGCATCCAAATTCTTCTTTTCCCCCAAAAAACCCGCTGACCCTGCTCTTCTTATGAACAATCTCTTCCAAAAGGGCGAACCTTTGGTATGAATTTCATCGTTTTTTTGTTATAGAATGTTGTTATTCTTTATGTTTCGATCTGATTTATGTGTTTTTCGATTTAGGATGGTGATTTAGTTTTGTAATTGTTAATTTGATTGATTTTTGCGTGTTTTTTGACCTGGGTTTTCTAATTTTTTTTTATCAATTGAAGTATGTTTTAGCTCCATTGATCTATTTGGTTATTGATTTTGTAGTATTGGATTTGAATTAACTGTGTCTTGTTTGTTTGTTTGTTTGCTTATTTGTTTGAATTAATTTGATTCTATATGTTTTATGATATTGCATCTGGGTTTTTAATTTTGGAATATTTGAAGTGTATGCAGTTTATAGAAAAAAGAATGATTTTCTTGGGTGAAGGGTTTTAATTGGGGTTTTAAAGCCAGGTTACTAATTTCTCTTTATAGAGTTGGTTTGCCTATGTGTGATTGATGAACATGAGTGGCTTCCTACTTTCCAGCTTTCCGCCGCTGGGTTTCTAATTTTAATCCATGGACATGCTATTGTTCTGTTTGTGGGTTTTAGATTTTTCCCAAAAACTCTGTTATATGGAAAGTTGGTTCCTTTAGGTTTCATTGATATTACATTTTGTTGACAACCTCTTATATAATTGGTCCGGCTTCTCGAGGCTGAGTACTCGTTTGTCTTAGGTTATTAAGTGCGTTGATGGAATGAGTATCTTTTTAGGCAGAGAAATTAATATCCTTTTAGATTTGGGTGTTTTGGGATTTTCAAGCATATTGCAGCATGGACGCATAGCTGTCAATATATCAATGTATCACTGACAAAGGAAATTTTAAGCAGATAACAAGAGTGTATGTGTTTTCTGGTTATGTTATTGAGCATTAAGCGTATTTATTATAACATTCATGACCAGTGCAGTGAGTTATGCAATGGAAGAACATTGATTCTCTGATTGTTTTGTTTTTCTTCTAATTGATATTTGTGTTTTTGGGATATATGGTTATATCTTTCTGAGCATGACAAATAGATCTTTGTTTTTGTAGGATATGTGGTTTTATCTTTCAGAACATGAAAAATTCAGAGATTTTGGGAATGAACAAGCTCTCATCTGGCATGAGACTAACATCCCTTATGCAGTCTGGAAACCTGAGAGTACCAGGACCTTGTCCTTAAATTATCAGCCTTCTGAGGTGATTTTATTTTTTTTCAAATAAAAATAGTTATACTATCCTATGAATTAGCACCATATTTAATTTTTAGAACTTTTTTGAATGCATATCATTCTTTTAGCTGGGAATTTCTTCTGTTGAATACTTGAATGCTCCTATTTTAACTGTTGCTTGGTGTTACATTTTATCTCCAGGATTTAAAGCATAATGGGACTTTGTATGCGCATGTATTCTTTGCTCGTTCTGGATATTCTCCTGATCCAAGTGAGCCAGAGTACCAACCATTGGCTACCTTTGGTAGAAGCAAGCGTATGCTCACCTGTCCTTATAATTTTGTGTACATATAAGCTTACTCAAGATAAAATGTTTTAACAAATTGTATTTCTTTTAACAAATATTTATTTTTTGAACTACAGCTGTTGTGACAATCTTGCCCAAGTCTAAAGTTGACAAAAGGAAATCCCTATTGGGAGACACCAAAAGTTCTTCTGAGGACAAAACAATGTCAAAGGTGGGTATGAGCTGTATATTTATTGCTAATTATTTTCTTTCTCCGATCTATGCCCCAAGGTGCATAAAATTTGTGTTATCTGTATATGTTGTGCACTTGTGCATAAATGGCAGTTCATATATTGTTGATTGTACTAGAGCTACCTTTAACATGGTCTAGAATTTATGTTTCCTGAGTATCAGATATCCCTCATTGGTCTCCTGTTGGTACTCTGTTGAATTTTTGTTATGCAGCTACCTTTAAGCTAGAACTAGCATTGATACAATAAGGTTTTAATGATCTTAGGGTCCACTTTTGATATCTCTTACCCATGTAAAATAAAGATCAAGAAAGTTGTTAGAGAAGTTTTGATACTTTGATTTGCTGTATGCATGGCGTAAGTGCATAACATATCCGCATACTGAAGTATGCATTAAAAGTTTTCTGGTTGTCAGTGCTGTATGATTGTTGTATAAAATTCTTGATCATCTTTGACATAATTATAAGCGTCTCTATTGTGCAATAACTTGAAATTGTAAAGACCAAGTGGTTATTTGTTTGTCCAGAAGAGGACTTACAACTTCTAGAATATAGACAGTTGGAATGTTCTGTGATGGAAAAAATATGGCAAGTATATAGCTCATACTTTTCTTGGAAGTTTTATTACAAAGTATCCTGCATAGAATCAAATTACATCTAATTCATGTCTCATTAAAACATCCTATATTTATTTTCTTTGAAATGGTGAGCAAGTTGGCTGCCTTTACCCTTCAAAATTAGATGTCTAATGCAAGGGCCACTTTGCAATTGTATGGGTAAGGCTGCATAAATCTGACTTCCCACCTTGTCTTGTAAGGCTTGTAAGAGGGATCAGGATAATGATAGGGTATGGTAGGCTTAACATTTAAAGTTCAATTCATCCGAGGAATGTTGAACACACCCTAATAATTTCATGCTGTTAGTTTCAGATTGCCGCATGATTATCATTGTAATTTGCTTTCCCAAGTAAAAGAAAAAAGCTTATGAAGTTTTTGTTGATGCTACCAGGTTGAAGAAGATTTGCAGACAGATCCTAAAGATGAAGGTCCCCCTGAATGGATTTCTTATTGGAAACCCAACATGACAATCAATTTGGTTGATGATTTCACTAGGTGTGTTAAGTTCCTCTCTAGCATTATAGTGCACTATTGTTGAAGTCTCTTTTTCATTGTACTATCTATGCTCCTTTTTTGCCATGGGATGCCATCATATCTACAATTTTTGGTGGACTTAGTCTCCAAGCTGTGAAGTTCAGTACTGATCCTCAATAAGGTTCAAGGGGGTCTTCAGCTTCTTAATGGTTGCTGAGAGATATTGACCCTTTTTTTTAAAGATGTGTTTGTGTACTGTCGTTTGTAGCTCTATTTATTGTTTCTGCTGCTGTTATATTTGGTAGGTCCTATATATTTCAAGTCATGTGCTAGATTATTTAAGTTAAAATATTTATGCTAAAAAAAACTAAAATAATTTGTAATACTCTTCTTTAAAAAAATGTTAAATGTTGAAACCATCCATTACCCTGTGAATTTCTTTTTGTTATTCTTCAAGATTTGTAATTTTTAAAAAATTCAATTCTCTCTTTCTTTTTTGACAGGTACTCGGCAAATTCTGTTCCTCCAAACATCGTGCCTCGTATCCTTTGATCTTTATTTCCTTGTATTAGAAGTTTCTTTGGTATTAATTTGCATGATTTGGACTGTTGGACCTTTTGGTCTTTAGTATCGTACAGAATGTGTAAGTGTGTGTAAACTCAGAAGCAAGCATTATTCCTCTGCTAATGTGCTGTAAAGGATTTTGTTGGGAGGAACCCCTTATGTGTAGCATTGATCACTGAATTACCTCTTAGGCTCTTGTTTGTACTTGTGTGTTACTATGGTGGCATTTGCGTTTAACTTAATATGAGATTTATCCTCACTGGTATAGTATATGTAGGTTTGTCTGTAAAGAGTGTTAGTTTCACTTCAACCAATTCTGGTACATTGTTTGTTGCTCCTCTTTTGTCACAGTAATTGATCCTCCCACTGATATTGCAAAACCCAGTAAGAGTTTTGATATACTTATAATGATTTGCATATGAATCAACCCAGTATGGAGTGTAACTCTGAGCCATCTGGTGAGTGGTGATTTGTGGTTTACTATCTGAGTTTCCTTGACCTTGTGGCACAGATCTGAATATTGAGCCCAAAACAGGGAACTATTTCCCAACCATATTCTTCAATGAGTTTTGGCTGCTCAAAGATAAGTTGATACCGATCAATGAGACAGTGACTGAACTTCCTTTACATTTGGAGGTGGCTCCTATGAGCATGACCAAGTGGCAGCTATTCCTGCAGATCGATGAGTCATTTCAGATTCATCGCTCTTATGGAAGTATGCTTGAAGGCGAGGCTGATGAACTTAAGGTGTGTTTATTGTGAAGCCCTATTAATATGCTTCTCTGAGGTATTTGTTGGGGAATGTTGAGATCATTGTATGAATGCCACTAGGCAATCATGGTATTTAAATTTTGGGAGTCTCTATGAATCATTTAGTTGTATGAAGTTATTATCATTTTCTTGATTCATGATGGTTTATGATTTCAGGAATATTGATAAATAATTTGGTTATTTCTAACAGTGTTGCCATGTTTTAGGAAATTTTTTAGTAGGCTATTGGGTAGCTAATCTGTGGTGTTGACCTGCCAATTGAAATGAGGAGATTAGCTTTTCCAACTTGTTGATATGTTTTTTTATGTGAAGCCGATACTGGAGCTACCGATTTAGTAAATGAGCTCTGTATAAACTATGATCATGAATATTAAGAGTTTACCGAGAGTTTTGACAACCCTAGTAACCGATTGCAAAATGTTTATATGAGTTTCATAATATTTTTAAGTCTTTTCTTTTTGTAGCATTTTTGTAAGTGTGTTTAAAATAAATCATTGAAACTGTGCCGTGTCTCCATTTCTGCAATTATGTTCTTTTGTAACCCTAGTCCCTTGTTTTCCAGTCTATGTCTATCTGCTCTTCTGATGGTGAGTCCAGAACAGAGGGGTCCTGGATTTGTGTTTTTCTTTACTTTGTTGATTATATTTCCCATTTGCGTTAATTTTCTAGTGTTCTACCACATTATAGTTTATTTGCTAGAAAATCTTCATAAAGGGTATTTTTCATTTATCGGTTTATAAGAACCCCGTTTCTTTGATTGCATCTTGGTGTTGTTCCTCATCACAGTGTATTTTTCTAATTTTCTTTGCAGAGGGTATTCTTGGAAGGGAATCCTTACCTTCTTGCAATCACAATGACAGTCTCACTTTTTCATTCTTTGTTTGACTTTCTGGCCTTCAAAAATGGTGAGTTACAGTTTTCTGTTGCTTTGGTGGAATATTGTTTCCTGTTCTTATTTTATCTAACTGTATTTTTGTGTTGACACACATCAGATATTCAATTCTGGAACAAGAACAAGTCAATGGAAGGGTTATCTGCTAAGTCAGTTGTTGTCAGCTTTATCTCTCAGTTGATTGTTTTCCTCTATCTCCTGGATAATGATACTTCATGGATGATTCTTGTGAGCTCTGGAATCGGTTGCTGCATTGAGTTTTGGAAAATAGGGAAGGCGATGCACATAGAGGTATGATTTCTGGTTGTAATTCTTGGTAGCCTCTTTTTGTTTACTGGAGAGCTAATATTCGACTGGAAATTTGTAATCTTTGTCATTCATGCTACATCCTTTATTTGTCTATTCTTCCAGATGGCCCTGCAATCTGCAAATACGTGCCACTTTACTTGTTAAAATTAGACTTTTGGACTAATTTTTTATTAGAAGATTCTAAAATCATGTTGGTAGATGGAGTATGAACTATGAAGTTATAAACTTTGAGGCCAATTTTCTTTCATTTATCTTGAATGGAGGAGCTTTATTTTGGACTGCCCTGATTAATAACTCTAGTAGGGATAAATCTGCATTTCTTTTTTAGTGAAGTTTTGGTGAATAGAAATTCAGAATCATATCAATTGACTTGGCTCACAATATCTTTTTGTCCTTTTTTCAGTTGGATAGATCTGGCAGGATTCCCTTACTAAGGTTTAAAGACCGGGATTCCTATAAAATGAACAAGACAAAGGAGTATGACGACATCGCGATGAAATATCTCTCATATCTCTTGTTCTTCCTTGTTGTGTGCTCCTCCATTTACTCTTTGAAGTATGAACGCCACAAAAGTTGGTACTCATGGATTCTTTCTTCAATGACACAATGTGTATATATGTTTGGTAAGTGTTCGCTAGCTTTTGGTTTCTAGTGCGTATCCTAAATTTGAAATTCTAATATGACAATTGTAGATTGAAGCTTTTATCGTTATTTATACTTCTGTCATCTTTTAATTGCAACTTTGGACTTTCATGGTTACCAAGGCATGACTTTGACCATTAATATCTTGAGCAACATATTAGTTTAGAAATTTTTGGTTGGTAAAACTGGTTAGAAAGTGTGAATGAGAATATGAGATGTGTTCCAAAGGATTGTTCTTTTGATTTTGGAGGTTGCTAATTAATTAAGCAATTACCCTGATATAGTTTTTATAAATATCTGAGTGTTCACAGATGTGTGTGATTAGAATTTTATTGTCGGAATGCCGGGTGTTGTTTTTGCTTCATAAGCAGCTGGATATAGTTTATATATAAGTATTTAGTCTTTAACATATGGCCGATTTTGTAGGAAGGATGTTTCTTTTGGAAATCTAGTGGTTTTTGGGTCATAAACGAAACAATCTTTTTTCTACGTGATGCATTTTCGACTGTGCTATGTTCTTTTTCAGATTGGGTACTTGTTTATTATGTCTCTCTTATTGGACAGTATCTGATATGCTCCCTTCTTTGTAGGCTTCATAATGATGTGTCCCCAGTTGTTTATAAACTACAAGCTGAAGTCTGTGGCTCACATGCCTTGGCGCCAAATGACATACAAGTTCTTGAACACCATTATTGACGACCTCTTTGCCTTTGTCATCAAGATGCCCACACTTCATCGGCTTTCAGTTTTCCGTGATGGTAAGACTAGTTTAAAACTCCTGAACACCTTCATTGCGCTTGACACTGAATTTTCCCTTGAAACAAATTGTGGGAGTTCTTGAGCATATCTGCCGCTTCTTGGGGTTGGGGGGGGGGGGGGGGGGGTTTGGTTTGGATTTGTGAAACTGTATGTTTGGTTGTGGTTGATTTCATTTTACTATTTTGTGATTAGGTTTGATTTTAACTTTGGTTTGTATCTGCAGATATCATATTTTTGATATATGTTTATCAACGATGGGTTTACCCAGTTGACAAAAAGAGGGTGAATGAATTCGGTTTTGGTGGTGAGGATGATAGCCAGTCTACCGAGGCCATTGAATCAACTAAAAAGGATGAGGGTCAATCTTCTGAGGCCATTGAAGCAGCAAACGAGGCCGATAAGAAAACCAACTGATCACTGTTTTTAGTTTTGGGAACCTGTGTAACACACCTCCTTTATATCTTTTTTTTTTTTCAGCTGTAAAGTGCCAATTAGTAAGAATCGTTGTCACTTAAGTTTATTTTTTCAACAATTTTGCTTTATTTACTGCTAATGTTATTTCATTAATTATAGTTAGTTTTCATAGCTAGAAATAGCACAAGGATAGATTGTTCTCTTGCTTAGGAAGTAAGGAAATGAGCTAGTGACTTTAATCAATTGCTTTTGACACTAATGAGAATTTTGATTGCATAATAAGGGCACTGATGCCTTTACCTTTTATGGAGTATTTATGTTTCGAGTGCTTCAGATGATTTATCCATACTCTTCGAATAGTCAAGGTATAGATTCCAAAGCTATTGAAGAAGAATTGCAGCAATTTCTTTCCCAATCCTTACGAAGTAGTTCATTCGAAATGAAATTTTGCGTATGATTCTTCATATCACCTTAAGTTTATTATTGTTGAATTTGTATGTTCATTAAAGATTCTTCTTTTCTTATAGTGATGCTTGTTCTAATATGAAGTATATAAGAATTGTGAACTCCTATGGTTAATCATAGCTACCATACCAATGGATAAAAATGGAATGTCATGAACTCATGATAGATGATTTTAAGAGTTAATAGCTCAACTTGTATGTTGTTTCAGTAACTCCTGAAAATGTGGGCATGATTCTCCAATTTAAAACTACTTTTGTAATATGAAACACATTCTTTATAGTGCCCTCTTAGGTATTCATTCCTCTTCGAGCTTAGACTATTGTTGAATTAAAGGAGAAGAAGTTGAAAAGGTACTTTGTAATACTATCATATATTATGAGACAGTTCGTGATATTCATATAACGGGATTTTTTTTTCCAAAGTAAGCTTTCTTACAAAACTATTTTGTAAAGTAGACTCGTGGTCAAATTATTTACCAAACTAAGCTTTTGGGTTAAAACGCTGTCTTATATCCTGTTTTTTTTTTTTAAAAAAAAAATTCAAAGTATAAAACGTTGTCATGTTGACCTTTTTTTTAAAAAAAATTCGTAATTTTTTATTTTGTAAAACAAAAAAAAAAAAAAATTCAAGTACACTTAAAACGCTGATTGGGACAACGTTTTTAGTGTATTTGTTTTTTTTTTTTTTTTTCGACTTTTGTAATTTCTAATTTAAAAACAAAAAAAACAAATACCCTAAAAACGTTGTCCCAGTCAGCGTTTTAAGTGTATTTGATTTTTTTTTATATAAAATCAGAAAGTACGAAATAAAAAAAAAAGTCAAACATTTTTACACTTTGGTTTTTTTTTTTTAAAAAAAAAACAGGGGTTAAATGCTGATTGAGTCAGCGTTTTACCCCAGAAGCTTAGTTTGGTAAATAATTTGATTACGAGTCTACTTTACAAAATAGTTTTGTAATGAAGCTTAGTTTGAGAAATCATCCCATATAACGCTTCTACATTTATCATTGTATACACTTCAATACTATAATGGCTCTACCTCTACTATGTGAAATTTGATAAAATGTTTATCTCAGCATTTAATGTATATTCACGAAATGTCTCATTTTCCAATCATTCAACTATATCGAATTATCGATTTACTAAGTTCAATGTTAGTTGAATAAATCAACATTTATATGTTTCAATGTAGCAAGGTGCTACTTGTTACAATTCATTTTGCTGATTGGCTAGTTGGTCAAAATATATTCATGGAATGGCGTGGATTGGTATTAGTCCTAAAATCATTCTATTAATACTTAAAATACTTTGCGGCAAAAAATGAGAAATTACTCTGTATATGGCTAGATTGCCTAACATACACATTTGTTTTTGTACAGGTCATAATCATGTGTCTATAAGATCCCGCTCCAATATTTCAATCTAATTTTTACACAAGTACATTTAATATACCTTCTGATCAATAGATTAACTTAAAATAAAGACTTATATGGTATACCACGAACTAGTATCCCAACTACTATAATGTCAATATTTAAGAGTTAAGGAAGAAGCTAAGGTGATCCCTCACTCGTAAACACAAACATCATGGGATAAAAACCTTACTCATTTTTCATTAACCAAAACTAGATATAACGTATACGTATCAATATATTCACCAAAAAGAGCAACCTTTTTTTTACCACCCTTTTAACCACTCACCTAATCCCACTCTAATACTCTATCAACCAATTTGGGAAGAAATCCCCAAATTCAGAAACACATCTCAAATAATTCAAGATTGTGATTACTCTAAAAATTAATTTTACTTTTCAAAATAAAATTAATTTCAATACTTTTCAAAATAAAATTAATTTCAAAAAAATCCTTTGGAAATTTTGATTTTTACCACCTTCAAATAACGACTTTGTCGAATTTACCACCTCCAAAAAAAAAACATTTACTTTACCACCTCATAAAAAAATTAAACATCAGTTTTACCACCAATCACCTCCAACTAACGGATTCCGTCCAAAAATCCGTTAATGGGGCCTACCTTGCACACGTGTCGCCATATTATTGGTTAAGTTTTAAAAAAATAAATAAAAAAAACAAAATAAAAAATAAAAAATCCCCATCAAGCAACCGATGGTTGCTGCCACCGTCGGGACCCCCACCGCCGGACCGGCTACGACCAGCCCCACCACCTAACCGTTACAACCATCCCCCACCACCTAACCGCTACCAGCCACCGTCGGGACCCACAGCCACCGCACCGATTTCGACCTCAAAACCCTAGCCACCACCTAACAGCTACGACCAACCCCACCACCTAACCGCTACCACCGCACCGCACACCACAGCCGCGCCGATTTCGACCCCCTTTCCACCAATTTCCGACCTCAAAACCCTAGTCAACACCTAATAGCTACGACCAACCCACCACCTAATCGCTACCACCGCACCGCACACCACAGCCACACCGATTTCTACCCCTTTCCACCAATTTCCGACCTCAAAACCCTAGCCACCACCTAACAGCTACGACCAACCCCACCACCATCCAAACCCAGACCAGAAACAACCGCCACCCAGACGCAAAACCACCCCGACTCAAAACCACCACCACCCAAACCCAGACCAGAAACAACTGCCACCCAGGCGCGAAACCACCCCGACTCAAAACCACCACCACCCGTCAGAAACCACGCCAGCCAGACGCGAAACCATCGCGACTCGAAACCACCACCACCCAGACGTGAAACCCACACGAAATTCCGACTAACCGAGGTAGTTGATTTCGTTGCTGGTTGGTTGACATGGAAGATCGGGGAAGATGAAGAAGAAACGTCAAAAATGTGGGCCCTACTAACGGATTCATGGACGGAATCTGGTAGTTGGTGGTAAAATCGATTTTTTGGAAATTTTGGTGGTAGTAAATTAAATCTTTTTTTTTGGAGTGGTAAATTCAATTAAGTGGTTATTTGAATGTGGTAAAAATCAAAATTTCCAAATCCTTTAAATTGAATAAAATTTTCGAATCCGGGCCCACAATTTTCCCCTTTAAAATAGGGTTTCTGCTTTTCCTTCATTTTCTCTCACTTCACTTCCCCATACTTTCCAGTCTTCCACTCTCACTCACTCCAATTCTCACTCAAAACACTTTCTCTCTCCTCTCGTCGGCGCTTCATCGGCGATTTTTCTCCGGCGAACTCTCTTTGCTGCTGCATTTCACTTCCGATCGCCGGAAAACTCGAAGGTGACGCAAGATTCTGTCGTTTCTTTCTCTCTTTCTTCCTCTTTTTGTCTTTCTTCCTTTATTTTGATTGTTGATGATGTTGTTTTTGAATTATTTTGCTGAATTTTTGTGTTTATTTTTGATTGATTAATTTCTCGTAATTTTTTGGTTTTTTTAGTGATTTTTCTTGAAAATTTTACGTATGTACGCATGTTCATGAAAGTTGTGCTATAAATTGGAGTAAATTGCTGGTTTTCTGTTGTTAATTGTATGCTAGGGTTTTTGCTTGTGATGAGTTTCTTTCTATTTTCTTCTTGTTTTTTTTTTAAATATTTTTTTTATATATATTTTTGAAATAATGTTTGTATAATTTCTTTGTTTGATTTTTGTGTGTAATTTTTTTTTTTAATTTGATTAATTTATGTAATTTTGGTTATATAAATGCTAGAAATTTTAATAGGTCTGTGTGTCTCAAATGCCTGAATTATGCTAATGTGATGCATGTGACTTTGGAAGGCTGTAATTTAGGAAGGGTTGTTTGATGGATGATTATGAGGGATTATGTGCAGTTGTAGGAGTATCCTTGATTTGATTAGGAAGGAAATGTATATATAGACAGGAATGTTTCGATTAAGCATATAAAAATTTTATGCCCTTACGCTGCCTCCCTTGTTCGTTTTGACCTAACAAATTTGGTCACATTGTTTTTGAATTGTAGTTTTTATTTTTTATTTTTTGTGATGATGGTGTTTTTGTGTCAATCTATGGTACAATTTATTTGCTGATAGCTTGATTGGTATATACCAAGAAGTTTGGGGGATTGCTTTATTGTCTGTTCTAAAGTGCCCTGGTGGGAGCAGTGTCGTCTTGTAAATGTCTAAGTTTGGGGAGTGGGTATTTTTGGCTGTGTAGAATGAATCCTAAGGCCATTTCTTTTGCAGCAAATGAATACTAGATCTCACAGTTATGTGGCGTGATTCTTAGCAGTCGGTAGGATTACTGCTTCCGTGTTTTGATTTTTTCTTTTCTACTTTTCATTTAGAAGTGGTGTAAATGTGTAATTGTAGGCAATTTTTTTTGCACTTTTCCTTTTCATGATTAAATATTAAAATTGTGGGCAATTCTTTGGTGTTCTGTTATGTTAGGACTATGCAAATGCAATTTGTGACTCTATATTTGGCTTCCATTTATCTAGATAAAATACATGTTCTTAATGCTGGTTTCCTGGCAACACGAGGTCATTGGGGAAATGGATTATCGTCTTGCTAAGCATTTTTCATATGGAACTTAATGTGTAATGGAGCTATTTGTTAGTAAGTCTAATCCCAGTTACTGTCATTATCTGTCAAGTGTAATTTTGCTTGTTTTATAATGAGGTATATGGATGGGTGTGGGCAATCATGATGTTTACCTCTATTTTAAGTATCATATGAAGTTTCTGTCGTATACTTTTACTGCTTAACATTGTCATAGACTACTTGCTGACCACCCGGTATACATTAAAATATTAAATGAAGATGCTTTTTTCAGCCATTGGCTAGTATGTTCAACTGTGGCATCTATTTTAGCTCATCAATGTGCTTTCTATGAAAGCGATGAGAATACAAGGTATTGTTGTTTTTGGACTTTAAAGTTCTTCCACTCTTGTTTGACACTCAAATTTATTTTTGTCAACTCTTTTCTTTTTTTGGTGAAATTTGGTTATTAACTGATATGCGTTGTTCATGTCAAAATTATCTGGCTCCCTTTCTTTGCAAAGTATAGTGTTGTCCTCTTCATTGGGTTAGAGATCCTCTGATAGTCTGATGAGCTTCAGTCTTTTAAGAGTTTGTAATGTAGAACTGGTGGATTCATTATTGATTGCTTTATGATTGTTGAGGCCTACATTGTGTCCTACATTGTGTTTATTCACTTGTGTATAAATTGCTGATTGAGAATTATTGGACAGTAAACTGAAGATATGAGTTCAAGAAAGGGCGTTGATGGTTTGAGCAAGGCTGTTAATGATATCAGCCTCGAATTTGCTGAGGATGGGGCCTGGGAAGATGTCATCCGGAAGCCAAAGAAATTTGGAAGGGGAAGACCATGGGTCCAACCAAACCCCCCACCAAAAGCATGGGGTCAGCCCGATACTGCTCATAGACTAGGCATACGTAGCTGTAATGCCTCAAACAGGAATTGGTCTGTGAAAAGCGGATCCTCTCAACCGAGAGAGGAGGAGGTCGTTGATGAAAAAGAGGTGGTTGATGAAACAAAGGAGAAGGCACATAATGATTCAGAGGATGAAGTGTACTCTGATGATGATGATTATCTTCTGAGCGACGGTTCTGATTCTGATGAAGGACCGCAAACTCATGAGTCGATGAAGAACAATAAGATGTTGAAGAAGTTTGTTGAAATTGTGGATGCCCTGACCATTGAAGAAATAAATGAACCTGAACGGCAATGGCATTGTCCTGCATGCCATGGTGGTCCTGGTGCCATCGATTGGTATAAGGGTCTCCAGCCCTTAATGGCGCATGCTAGGACAAAGGGCTCTCAAAGAGTCAAGCTCCATCGAACATTTGCAGATATATTGGATGAAGAGCTTCGGAGAAAAGGAACTTCTGTGGTGCCTGCTGGAGAATCATATGCTCAGTGGGAGGGTTTGAAGCAAGAGGTGAAAGATCATGACATTGTCTGGCCTCCTATGGTTATGATCATGAACACATTGCTGGACACTGATGACAATGATAAGGTGTGCATTTATGTTTATTTGATTTTTTATTTATACATTTGTTAATTGGTCTCGTAATGTCTATGTATATTTGAACCCTCACATATATTTACCATAATATGTACTGCCATCCCTTGTGGATCTGAAGGCTGCATGTTTTCAATTTGTTAATATTATTGTTTGTTTTGTTTAGTGGATTGGTATGGGAAATCAAGAGCTTATAGACTACTTCAAAGGCTATGCAGCTGTAAGAGCCAAACACTCGTACGGCCCTAAGGGGCATCGTGGTATCAGCGTCCTGATATTTGAGAGCTCGGCTATGGGCTTTGTGGAAGCAGAGCGACTTCACAAGCACTTCCAACAACAGGGAACTGGGAGAAGTGCATGGGATAATAGTAGAAAGGCTCTGTTTTATGCCGGAGGAAAGCGCCAACTATATGGCTTTTTTGCTAGGAAGGATGACCTTGAAGAATTTAATAAGCATTCTCAAGGTTTCTTTCTATCTCCTTTAATATGATATTTTGTTATAGCTATGTATGCTGTACATCCACACTTGCAAGTTATCCATGCCATATATTGTAGTCTTGATTTGAGTTCCTGTGAGACCAGTGGCAGAATCTGCTTGGTATACGTCTTTGTTATACTATGTTTTGGACTGTGAGTGATAACAAAATTAAAGGGACTGTTGAAATTCAAGTCTACTTGGTACATGGTATTATGTTTAGATATTGTCATTTCCTTGCAAATCTGGATCCACGGCAAATGTCCTGTTTGGGAATTTAAATCATTTGGAATTAGATTTAGTGAATCTGATGTACTCGTTAAAGAAGGCCATCTCTCTGACTTTCCTGTTTTCTTTCCAAATAGTAGTCATTTCCAAGTCCCACATCATCATGCTTCCACCATTTCCTTTTTCTTCAAAACCCTACCATTGATGGCCATTAGCCCATGAATGTTTCTTTCTCTCTCCCTCAATTGCTCATTAGTCATAACTTCATCAATTTCTGTCATTGGTTTCTCTCCCAAGTCTTTTCTACTCATTTTTTTTAATTTTTCAGAATGCGCACCAATGATGGATTTTTTTCCCCTCTCTGTGCTTTTGCCATTCCACCATCATCGCCAACTTTGCAGCTTTCTCATTTTCCTCAAGCTAATTTTCTCTACGTATCAAATAGCAATGGCTGTTGGTCATCCAACTCTGCTAATCCTCTCTTTCTCCGTTTTTTCTGTCCTCTAAAGGGAAATAATAATAAATGTTCTTGTTTTTTCTAACAGATGTTTAGGAATCGTTTCGAATTTTAATTTAAATAGCTGAAATGAAGCATTTGGAATGAACAATTGTTTCCCAAACACAACCTTAATTATGTATTTGTTATGTTCTTTTTCTGTCGAGATTAGGAAAAACAAGACTGAAGTATGAGATTAGGTCATACCAGGAGATGGTAGTTGTTCCCTTGAAGCAGATGAGTGAGGATAATCAACAACTCACTTGGTTTAAGAATAAATCCGCCCTCTATCAACGGCAAAAGAAGGCGAATGAGGAACTTAATAACGTTCTCTCTGAGAAGCTCAGGAACATAATGGAGGAAAATCGGATCGTGAGACAGAGAACCAAAGAACAGCATGAGGAGAATAAAGAAGAGGTACCTCATTTTTTTATTTAATTGATAATTCAGCACCACAGTTTTGTTTTTTTCTTTTTTTTTTTTTTAACAGCAAGTATTGAAGGCTTACTGAAATTTTGTGAGCTTGTTTCATGATGGTGTCTCCTTAGTCCTTGTGCTCTAATATGTCTGGCACTTTCATACTTATGGTCATATGGACACGATTGAATTTTTCATCTAGTATGCACTATAATTCTTTTCCTTCTTGCAGATGGATTTTCAAGAGCAGTTCTTTAATGATCAGATCCAGAAAATCCATGAAGCAACAAATGTGAAGGAGGACCAATTTGAAAAGCTTCAGCAGGAGGAGCGGAAGAAGATTGAAGATTTCAAGACAGTAGCCTCAAACACAGAGGATGGTAGGCGCAGGTAATGATCTCACTCTGGGTTAATTCTGAGTATCATTTACAATCTTGCTTTGCGTCACACAGGTGATTATCAAGAAAGTACATGTGCAATCGATATGATTATATTGTTCTTTCCTCAATCATCTGTCCTGGCTATGATGTAACTTGGAGCCTGTTTATCTTTACTGTGAGTTTGCCTTGTTACAATCGTATCGACATGCATATTGCAAATATGTAGTAGCATACACTTGTCAGCTTTCTTTTCCCTTCCATTTCAGGGCTGAGGAGGCGACCAAGTTTAAGGAGATGCAGAACCAAGAAATTGACAAGTATTTGGCTGAGAGAGAGCAACTGGCAAAGATTCACAGTGGGAAGAAGATTGAGATGAAGAAGAGGCATTGGGAGGAGGAGGTGGAGCTGGAGAGGGAATTTGATGCTGCCTTGACCGAGCTAATGAACAAGTATGCTCCTCGGCCCACCGAAGATGCTGTTGGTGCTGGCGCTGGTGCTATTGCATAACTATGGTGTACTTGGGAATTATCTAAAAACAGTCACAGAGGATGGAAGAAAAACATTTCAGTTTAAAGACTTAACAAAGTAGTCGTGGTTGATGTCTGAGTTTTGTGTATGGAATGATGAACTGACCTAAAGAGAGATGACAAATAGTGACTATGTAAATAGCCTGGAATGGCCAAAGTAATTTCGAAATCCATGTTAATGCACAGTTGTTTAGGAACAACTTTGGTGCTAGGTGATACAAGGGGGAAACCATGTTTTCTACTAGTACATGTAATATTTCTTCTGCTTCCCTTGATTACTGTGACACTCGGATCATTCCTATTTTCAACAATGTGAAATTGCGTGGGTTTTAACTGCTATGCTCTATTCTACAAGTTTCTTCCCCTTAGTTTTTATGTTGATTCAATGACTTTTGTTGTACGAGGTGATTTGAAGTGCGAAGGTAAGAATGTAGTCTGTGTTAACATTTTACAGAAGTCATTATATGCCCTTAAAATGCCATATTCTGGACTTGAGCAACCCTTTACATCAAGGAAATCAAGGATAATAAACAGGAAGGATCCAAACAACTTGAGAGTAGAGACACTTATTTGAATTTGTTCATGTTTCTTTTTCCTTGTTTTATGTCTTACGTCTTTTATAGGTATAACAGGTTCAATATGTCAACCGATATAACTCGTTTGTAAATTTATGGATGATCGAATTACTGAAATTACGTAGCTTATCTCACTTTTGCTTTTACTCTTCAACTTATACAAACATCATATAAAGAGCCAATGCAGGGCAGGAGTTGATTTATATTGTATCACTGCATTATGCATGTACTGTATTCTGTATAAATATTCCGTAACAAATACTTTAAACTGAGATTGAAATCTTTGAACGAGTATGTTATTCATACAATCATTAGATATTGTTGTGCATAATCTTGTTCACGAGTATATAATTAGAGTAGATCAATGGGTTGTGTCAAACCAAATTTGGGCCAATGTTGTGATCAGAGTATTTGAATTTCTTAAATAGGAAGTTAAAAAAGTTGGTTTGTTACAGTGAGGAAAGCACACGATCTGAAGGAACACACATGATCATGAAGATGATGAGTTGCAGAGCTGGTAGTTCCGCCATCTTTCGTTCCGGTATTCCTTCTTCTTTTCTCTTGTTTCCTCACTTTCACTTTCAATCGAATTCGTACTGTTGTTGATGACCGTGATTTGTTTCTACAATCAGTTAGAGATCAATGCAGTTTAGGATTTTCTGATCTCAAACTTCCACTCTCTCTTCCATCAATTCATTCATTCGCGCCCTCTTCCTTCTATCATTGATTTCACTCTGCTTTTTACTGCTATTGTCAAATTAAAGCGCTTTAAACCTCATTCCATCATTATCTCTCTCTCCAAGCACCTTGAATTGTATGGTATTAGACCCGATATGCATTCTATTAGCATTCTTGCCAATTGCTACTGGGTTTTCTCTCCTGGGTAAAGCACTTAAGCTTGGGTATCCCCTTGATTGTGTTATTTTTAACACCTTAATTAACGGCTATGTCCACTGTGATAAGCTACCCCAAGCTGCTCATTCGTTGAATAAAATTATCAAGCTTGGTTTCCAACCTTCCGTTGTTACCTATAATACTATTGTCAAAGGCCTTTGTAGGATTGGCGACAATGCGTCTGCTCTCGCTTTTCTTAAGAAAATGCAATCTGGATCTCATTTTAAGCCTAACATTGTCTCATACTTCCTTGACCTGTAAGGACAGGTTGTTACAACAGGCCCTTGACCTGTTCTCCTCTATGAAAACTAAGGGCATTAAACCCAATGTTGTCACTTATACTTCCTTGATTCGAGGCCTCTACAATTCCGGCTGTGGGGATGAGGCTCAGCGTGTGTTGACTGAGATGTTAGAGAGCAACATTGCACCAAATATTAAGACCTACAGCATGCTGGTTGATATGTTTTGTAAAGATGGGTGCGTTGATCAAGCTCAGTCCATACTAAAGCACATGATTGAGATAGGTGTGCCTCCAAACATCCTTACTTATAGTATTTGATGGTTATTGCTTGCGCGGTTAGATGGAAGATGCAGAGAACCTACTTGATCTCATGGCTGAAAATGGTTGTGAGCCTAATCTTGTAAGTTTCAGCACTATGATTAATGGGTATTGCAAGGCTAATAACATTGACAAGGCCCTAACCATATTCCATGAGATGTTACAGAAAGGGATAACCCCTAATGTCGTTACTTATAGCTCTCATATCGATGGGCTGTGTAAAGCCAATAGACTCCCATCTGCGCGTAAGCTGTTTAAGGAAATGCAGGCTCATGGAATTGCTCCAGATTTTGTCACCTATGCATCTTTGCTTGACTGCCTTTGCAAAAGTCCACGGCTTGACGAGGCAGTGAAATTACTTGAAGATATGGAGGATAGTGGTGTTAAGCCAGATATTGTCATCTATAATATCCTAATAGACACCTTGTGTGAGGCTGGACAACTTGAAGATGCAGCAAATTTCTTCTCCGATCTCATATCAAAGGGTCTGCAACCTGATATTAAAACATACAATATATTGGTCAAAGGCTACCGCAAGAAAGGGCTCATGAGTGAAGTTGGTCAAGTGTTGAGGATAATGGAGGAAGATGGTTGCCCCCCCTGATGATGTTACTTTTAGGGCATGCTTGGATCAGAGGAAATGTATTATTAGGGCAATAAAAGTAAAATTAAGCAAAATGAAAGTGAAAATAGGGAAGGAAGAGATAATGATGGTGTGATTGTAAGGAAAATTATGTAGTGATAGTTGTGATATGAGGTAATAGTTACTCTAGGGGGAGGGTGGGTAACTATTACCCTCATTATGAGGGTAATAATTCCTCCGTCTCTCTCTTTTCCTCATGGCACAATTACTTTATTTCATTTGTAAACACCGTGCCTTCTACAAGTCTACAACAATACATCTAATTACTTATGTTTTTTCAAGTTTGACTTTTATTACCCCCTTAATATATTACTCGACTTTTTTTTTTTGATCCGTTGTATTAGACTATTTATAAGACTTCCTTTTTTTTTTTTTTTCTTTTCACTAATCCGTTGTATTAGAGTAGGTCTAATACAACGAATTCTTATATCTAATACAACGGTTAGTATAAACCGTTGTATTAGACCTGTTTTAGTATAACCGTTGTATTAGCCTAGTCTAATACAACGGTATAAAATTAGCCGTTGTATTAGCTAAATTTTGTAATGTTGTATTAGATTAAAAATGTAGTAGTGGATAATTACTTCATTTGCTCTGTTTGAGTGTTTGGCGGGGAGAGGGATAGTGTTTTAGGAAAACTCTTTTAACCACTTACCCAATACATTATCTGTGGAATTTGTCCACTTCATTAATTACAAAAAATACATAAAAAAAAGGGGTATATATATATATATATATATATATTAAATCAACTAAATAAAAAAAATGGATACATATGTAATGATAACCATCACTAATTTACCATTTATTGTGCAATAAACCTATCAGAAATTGGTCTGTGAAATATTGTCCTTTCACTATCTTATTTTTCACTAGTAAGTAGTACGGACTACGGAGTAACATGTACTATCTCTTAAACAAATCCCTCTTTATTTGTTTACCATAATCATGACCTTGATCATCACTCCTTACTTTTTACTTAGTAGCTTTTACATATATTCTTTTCAAATGAAGCCTTATGCAAGTTTAGATTGGATAGAACATAACTCAATGTGAAAGACTAAAAGCATACTGTTTCAATGACAAATATAGTACGGAGTACATTAGTTTTATTTAATGCAACTCAAAATAACAATAGAGGATTTGAATTTATGAGCCATAAGGGCGATACAAATTGCAAATGAAGATAAGGGATTTCAATTTGTATTGTGCACAACCTATCGATCTTAACCTTTCTAATCAATAATCATCTAATTCATGTCACTTACAAGATTTTCATTTCAAAGGTCACATACTCAATCACATGTAGCAAAAATATTTATTTTTAAATTTTTTTTAGAACTCATCCAAATTTAATTTATTATTATGAAACTGACATATTTTAGGGAAATTCTCAATGGTAGGCCTGAACTTTTGGCAATTCTCAATGGTAGCCAGTTTTTTTTAAAAAAATCTCAATGGTAGCCCTGAACTTTTTAAAAAGTTGCTTCCGTAGCCTATTTACTTTGAAACCGTTACCTTTGAACTATGGTTAAATATTTTGACGTTGGTCAGCATTTAAGACATTAACCCACCCACCCAACTGCATTTAAACCATTGTGCATTCATCTTCTTCTCATTACTTTGTTTCACGCTTTGAAGGAAGATCGAAGAACACAATTGTGGGAGGGGATTTGAAGGTCGAAGAGAAGTTTGCGTGTAAAGGCTTGATTTTGTGTGCTGCTGCATCAAGGTAGGTGTTAATTATTCAGTTATAGTTTAGGGTTTAATCTGTGAAATGCTCGACGTTATGTAATTGAATGACTGACGAAAAATAGGGTTTTTTTTGTTAAATTATGCATGTTAGTCGTTATATGTTGTTAATTTTGGCGTTAAAATGTTGAATTTTGGTGTTAAATTGTTGATTGTTGGCAAATTATGGATTAAATGTTGAAATCTGGGCAATTGTGGGAATTAGGGTTCGATTGTTGAATTTTGGCATGGTTAATGGTATTTTCTGTGTAATTGTGGGAATTAGGGTTCAGTTGTTGGACAATTATATGTACTGTGAATTATATGTATTGCGGGAGTTAGAGTTTTGTTTTGTTCGTTATATGTATTGTGAATTTACAGTTGATCTTCATCAACATTTTATATTGATATTTTCATATGTAATTACTGCAGAATGGACTGCCCAATCACCCTAAAGTTTCAATACAAGAGTATTGATGTTGACATTGTAGTAGATGACATTAATAAGGTTGTGCTTATAGACCTTATCATAGATTATTGGGAATTTTGTGAGTTAAATTCCATCCCCACACCAAGATACCCTAGGTTTGAATATGTGTGGAAGATGAAACAATATGAGTTAAGGACAGACAATGATTTGATGGTAATGTTTGATAGGCTGCAGGGTAGAACTGTGATACATATTTGGGTAGATGATGGTGAGGGTGAAACTGATATTGCACAAGCTGCATCTTTGTTAAGAGCTGGTAGATCTGAGAAAGAGAAAGTTGAAAAATGGAGGGAAGAAGCTAGGAAGGAATTAGAACAATCTGACCCACAACCTGACAACCCACCTCTTTCAGAACAAACAACTGAATTAGTGACTTATGTGCTTGATGGGGATAAGGAAGGGGGTAAGCAACATGTTAAGAAACAACTAACCAAGTTAGTTCCTAAGAGAAGTAAGAACACAGAGGGGGTACATGGGGGAGAAGGGAGAGGAAAGGGGTGTGCAGAAGCTTCAAGTAGAGGGCGCGGAGGGGGAGGGGTAGAGGGGGAAGAGGTAGAGGTAAAAAAACAGGGTTTTAATTTGAGGAATGGTTTAGTTCATCCAACCCTTTGCCTGACAATGCAAAACCACTAACTGAAATTGAGCCCCCAATAACACAGCCTCCTGTAACTGATCCTAAGCCACTTCTTGTGCTTAGGAGGAGTCCTAGAAAAAGAACAAAATCAAATGATCAATTAAATGTTGAACCCCCAGTAACACAGACCATGCAACCCTCTGAAACACAAGCTGAACTACTACCTATTGTCATGAAATCAATCTCTTTCATTCCCACACCAAATAACCCAACTCCTGACATAGCAGAAGGTGGTTCAAGTAGGTCTTCTTTTGTCCCAAACACAATAAAAAGGAGAATTCCTATGACAACAGCTAGAAGAAAGGGGATTGTTATTGATTCATCTGTGAGTCAGGGGGGTAGCAACAGTTTAAGTCAAGGAAATAGGGTAGTAACAGATGTTGCTGTTGACTTGGATGAGGATGATGACTTTGATATGTTCAATGACATAGAGGATGATGAGGAGAATGAGTATGTCCCTATGGGAGAGGAGGACTTAGATGAATATGATGATGATGATGATTATGACAGTGTTGAAAATGAGGGTGACTTAGAGGATGATGAGGGTGCTGAAGCTATTGCCATCCATGACAACTTTGATCCTTTTAGTAGTGAGCTATTTGATGATGAGATAGGGGGTGATGACAACTACTTTAATAGGCTTTACAGAATTGGAGAGATATACAAAAATGAGGAGTTTGGAACAATAGTGTTGAAACCATGGCAGTTGTTTATTGATAAACAACACTTGAGGGATGTGGTGAGGGAATACTGTATTCAGTGTGGGTTTTCTGTGGTTGTGGTTAGAGCAAACAACCATAGGTACACTGTGAGATGTGCTGCTATGGGGTGTGAGTGGAGATTGCATACATCTAAGCTAGCTGATGGGGTGTCTTGGGCTATTAAGAGTATTACCAACTCTGAGCACACATGCAGTGGGTTGGATGTTAAAAACTCAATGGTGAGTTGTGCATGGGTTGTGAGGGTGCTTCTTGAAGACGTGAGAGCAAACAATGACATTACTGCAAAGTCATTGAACACTCTTCTTTTTCAAAGGTTTGGTGTGCAAATGGCAACAAGCACACTGTATAGAGTGAGGCAACATGCTTTGTCTCAGATTCATGGGTCACATGATGAGTCATATGCCCATCTTCCAAAGTATTGTGAAGTCATAAAGCTGACAAACCCTGGATCAGCTACTTTTGCTGCATGGAAAGAATTAGCAGACCAACCTGAGAGGCCTTTGGTGTTCAAAAGTATCTTCATCAGTTTTAGTGGTGTACTTAATGGGTTAAGGGGTTGTAGGGCCTTGATAGGGGTTGATGGGGCACACCTCAAAGGAAATTATGGTGGTGTCTTGCTCTCTTCTGTTGCACTGGATGGGAACAATGAGCTATTCCCATTTGCTTGGGGAATAGTCACTGCTGAAGATGGTGACAGCTGGTCCTTTTTTGTTTGACATTTAAAGAATGCCTTAGCTTCACTTGGAAGGGGAGACAATTAGTGCATCATTTCTGACAGGC